ATATGCAAGTGTCTTGGTCACACTGGGGCTCTTGGCCCATGCCCAGCCTCATCCTGCTTCTGCTTCTGCTCCTCAACGGCTTTGCTTGAAGCAAACGTCACCACTCCCAGGCAGCTTAGTGTTAAGGGTACTGCAATAATATGTCAAAACTAGATGCTCATTAATTGACACTTTTGGTTCCTCAATCTTTTGTGGTTTTCTCAATCTTTTCATTCTAAAACCTATAAAGATATCTTCTTTGCCCCACAGCTTGCTCAGGTGGGGCAAGAAAATTAGGCATCACTTTGTCTAAAAAGCTTCTAACTTGATTTTTTTTCTCATGATATAAATACAGAGGGTATCCCTGCTATTTTCTCAGAATAAATGTACTTCCTGCGTATTCCTCCAGAACAGATTACTTCCACTGGACTACATTCAAATTCATTCTTGCCTATCTGTACTTTTTGATGCTGTTTCCTGAGCTGCCCAGAGCTTCTGGTAATAGTGCTTATAATAGCACTACTCACTGTTTTTTCCTAGCATATTGGTATTTCCCAGCATATCGTATTGGTAAACAGTTTATTAATCTTATTGTCACATTCTGCTGTCTTTTTTTTCTACAGAACCTCTGAAAGAGCAAGCATGACACAATGCTTGGGAAAGTTGTTCACCCAAGGGTGCAGTACTTGAGTACAAACATGCATTCTATCTGCCTGGGAGACCTTGTCAAACTCTGCTGACACATCCAATGTAGAAAAACACTTGTTGATATTAGTCTCCAAAATTCCACCCTTAACAGAAAGTAATAAAATACTACAGTTCTTTTTATTTTCTTATTTTCTATTCCTAAGTACAGAAACTTTGCTTATCCAGTGCTTGTAGGCAATGATATCTCTGAAGTTTTTCAAATCCTTATGCAATAAGCTTATACACTTCTTTCTTTGGGCTTTGTTCTCCAGAGAAGAATTTTCAGATGGACATGTTCCTCCAGAACTTTACTCTTCTGGGTGCACTGGCACATTCAGTCAGCATCTCACTTCTTAATTATGCATTCTTGCTCTGATTACTGATTGAAGTCACCTTCTACATGAAGTGCAGAAACTCCAATATTACTGAACTCTAAATTCACAGCAGCGATTGACTGAACGATTATGAGAAACACATACTTTTCAACCAGTCACTTTCAAGTATAAGACTCCAGGTCTGCATGTAAGTTGAAGTGGTGTTCAAACTGCCTTATGCTGCCTTCTGCACTCACAGAAAGTTTCTGTTCTGCATGCATTTTTAGGGTGGGGGTTTTGGTTTTGGTTTTGTTTGTGTGTTTGGGTTTTTTTACGCTGAGTGGGGGAGATGGAGAGGGTGGGGATGGGTGTTTGTTTGTTTTGTTTGGGTGGGGTTTTTGTTATACAAGGTAATCAGTGATCACTCTGTTCTAAGTATGTGCAAGAAATTTGGTGTCCTCTGTCTCATTCCAGCTCACTGAGGATAGTAACACTAGACCCAGACTGTCAGTTTGGAGCTCAGGTTCAGAGATCTCAAGTTCATACTCCCTGGCTGATCTCAGTGCTCATACGTTGAGCTCAGGCTTGGCTTCAATCTTGAATTGGAAACCAAAGGAAGGACTTGAATCTTGCTTCTGCAGACAGTTTAGATTGGATGAGTTTAAGCCAAATGCAATTGCAAGCAACCCACATTCTGGCACAGTTTAATTAAGAAGCTAAAGATGGAAAGATCCAGCACAAACTCTGCTCTTTTAGGCATAATTCCCAGTAACAAACTGTGCAGCCCAGAGTACAGGAACATGTGGATTTAAAGATGCTTACTGAGTTCTCCCTGTTTTCATAGGTTCAAGCTGACATAAATTAAAATGATGTCACTAAATAATTGTTCTGAATATGTAATTAGTTCAAGGTTAGATAAGCACAAAGGAAGCTGATGGCAAAGCATGGACAATAGAATCAAGCTCAATTCAATAAGACACATAAAAAATGTTATCATAAATTTTACTTCACAGAAGTTTCTTTAGAATTTATTCAATTATTCCTTCCTTAATATCTGAAAATTCTTCAACCTGTCCCAGTATGGTGAAACATATATACTTCTGTGTGTATATATAGTTTGTTTTGGTTTTTTTTTTTGAAAACTGACTAAGAAAGTTCAAATGGACTTACCCCTCAAAGATGAATCTAGGCTTGAAAACTTTTTTTCCTAGCTTGCTGTGAGATCTTTCAAGTCCACATGTTAGGAAACACTGATTTATATGCTTTTATATTGCTCAATCTCTACCCAGATAGCTCTGTAAGATGGGAACAGTAAGATCCATCAAGAGATGAACCATTCCAACTCTCTGTCTAAAGGTAGGATTGATTAGCACCGTTTCTCCCATTTTTCGTATGTTGTTATCTAACCTGCAGTAGCAATGTTAACTAAACAGACTTTTTCAACCAATTACTCATAATCCCAACCAATCATAATCCCCTCACTCTTGTTTGAAATTTTGTTTGAAATTTTCTTCCTTAGTATCTAACCTGAAACTTTTTCTCAGAGTGTGGGACCATGAGTTATTCTACAGACATGGACATTAGAGCATTCCTTCCTCATTGTAAAAGCCTTTTATTATATCATGCTCCTTCACAAAATCTTGTAGATTACATTAAATAACTTTTAGTATTATTTCTATTTTTCTAAAACTCTCTTGTTGCTCTCCCTTCCAGATGCCCTTTAGCTAGGATACTCTTCCTGAAATGCAACACAACTAAATGTAGGTATGGAATAATTAATGAATGTTAATCTTTAACCCTCTATTAACAGTTAGTGTGGTGTCCTTCTGTTACACACTCTGTTTATGGTTATGTAGCTACCCAATTTGTAGTTTTACATTGGAACTGAAGTATGGATAAATACTACAGGTAAGTAAATATGGGATTTTTAGGAGGTATTTTAATCATACAGAACTTTGGAGTTAGACCAAGTAAGAACATGACAATGACATTACCAGATCAACCAATTATGAATTTGAATTAATGCTATAAGATAATTTTGTTGGCTTATTTGTGCTGATTCTAATAAGTGCAATTCTAATTTTGTGTTTACTTGTTTTTATTCTACAAATATCTAAGTACATCATAGAATAGTTTGGGTTGGAAGGGACCTAGTCCCACTCCCCTGCCATGAACAAAGATGTCTTCCACTAAATCCAGTTGCTCAGAGTCCTGTCCAACCTGACCCTGAATGTTTCCAGGAATGGGTCATTGACCACCTCTCTGGGCAATATGTTCCAGTGTTTCAAGACCTTCATTATAAAAAATTTCTTCCTAATACTTATTCTAAATCTACCCTCTTTTAGTTTAAAACCATTATCCCTTGTCCTCTTACTACAAGCCATGCTAAAATGTTTGTCCCCACTTTTCCTCTAGGCCCCTATGAAGTACCAGAGGGCTGCTATAAGGTCTACAGAGAGCCTTCTCTTCTTTTGACTGAACAGCCTCAACTCTCTCAGCCATTCCTCACTGCAGAGGTGCTCCATTCCTCTTATTATTTTTGTGGCCTCCAACAGGCCCATGTCTTTCCTATTCTGGGGGCCCAGAGCTGGGCACAGCACTCCAGCTGGGGTCTCACAAGAGCAGAGTGGAGGGGTAGATTCACCTCCCTCGACCTGCTGGGTACGCTGCTTTTGATGCAGCCCAGGATACGGCTGTTTTTCTGGGCTGCAAGCGCACATTGCCAGGTTATGTCCAGCCTCTCATTTACCCCAAAGACCTTCTCAGCAGGGCTACTCTCAATCTGTTCATCACTAAGCTTGTTTTGAAACTGGGAGGTGTCCTGAATCAATGTAAATTATATATAATATACCTAATAATCATTCATCAGCCCAGTCATCTCATATCACTGCTTGGTATAACAAAGCAGGAAGTTCATCTACTTAATTGAAAACCCCTATCAATATTAAATTTATCAAAAAGTAAAAACCCAGATATGAGATTAAAGTATATTCTGGAAATAATTTATCTGTAGTCTTTATGAGCCAACTTTTCTCCTCAGCTTTCCCATAAGAAAAATGCTGATACTAATGACTTTTTCTCTTCTGGAAACCCTTACTGGAGAGAACCCTTCGGAATTCATCCATGTGTTATACTGATGATGAAACAGTTACATTCCAGTACAGTCTCCTCTCTGAGATTACACACAAAACCCCTTATCTGTTTAAAGACAGCAGAGATCAGTACATATATAAGTTCTACCTTGTAAAACCTTTCCTGTCCAAAAAAGACAGCTAGAAAAAGTACACTGTGAAATCTCTTTAACATAGTGAATAAAAGCAGGTGGGAGGCACAAAGCTGTTCCAATTGCAAAGAGAGGAGAAGCAGGAGTTTTTCAGCAACAATTAATGCATGTAATAACTGATAAGCTACGGATAAGAGGGGAAATCAAGAAGAATCCAGGAAAGGTATTGTTAAATTCATTGCAGCCCTCTCATCTTAAAAAGGCATGGTTTGCTGTCTGTGGCGGGAAGGAAATGAGAACGCTATCTCTTTTCATCTGTGGCTCTAAACCAAAGGAACTAAAGGTTTTATACAGAGGAACGTGAATTTACCTTGGGTCCATTTTCACAGTTCCCAGATGAGAAACAATGATGACCTTAGGGAGCCAGCAGTGTTCCCTTAGTAGTCTCTATATTAGGTATTTGAAATATATTGAAAATTAAAATTATAAGATTACTTCCCTCTTAAGAAAACATGTTGATTCTTTAAAAATATGAGCAAAATTAAAGATGAATTTAAGAAAATTACTTATGGCACAAAAGGCACATTAGCACTACCCACACCATCATTTATAGAGAAAGGTGGTTATTTTGGCTGAGATGACAAATTACCCTTCCACAGCAGAAGGAAAAAAATAGTTTACAGTTAAGGCTGTAAAGTTATTGAACAAGATCTGACTGTACTAAGAAATGCACAATATATTAGAAAAGTCAATTTCTTAAATTAAATGGCAAATCAGCAAGGGGATGAAGGACTGACCTTGGATCGGGGTGGCGCTCGGATGTACCATTTACAGTCTACTGCTTCAGTTTCAGAAGCTTTTCCTTCTTTGACAATTTGTACAGATTCCACAATTCCTTCAGGTCCTCCCATCTCAAACTCACAAACTGAATAACAAAACACCAGAAAAAATGAAACCTGAACAGCAAACAAAAATATTTTCTACAGAAGAGCATAAAGGCTTCCAAGTTAGAAGAAAACCCAAAACCAACATACCAACCTGGCAATGGCTTTAAAACACCAAGGTCCTTAAAATCTGGATCTTAAAAATAGAGAAAGATAAAATTAGTTTTGTTCAATATCTAGGCTTTAATGTCAATGTGCTAAAATTTGATAATGTACTGCAGTGATATAATTATACATATACTTCTTGGAAATGAGAAATGCTTCAAAACTATGGCAACACACTAATTATTAATGCAGAAATTACTAATACTATCATAGCAACTTATTTTTTTCTGTTATGAAATCTTGCTTTTCTCTGTCTCTCTCTTTCAGAAAAATGAGTTAAAAAATATTTCTGCGTATATTAGCAAACGAGAACATCACACAGCTGATCATATGATATTTTAATACATCAGACTAATGAAAGAGGATATATTTACAGACCCATTCAGAATCTTTTTGCCTATTTTGCATTTTACAGTATAACACTGAACTTAACTAAATCTTAGAGAAATCTAAACTTCATTACATGTTTTTGAATACTCTACCATTCCCACTGACCAAGAGGAGACATTTCTTTGTGAGAAGCATCCATTTGGCCTTACTGGGAAAAAAATATCATAAGGATTTACAGTGGAATACAATGTGTTAACAAGGTAATAAATCTAATATGTGTCCTATATTCCATCAGATAAACATGATTATATTTGCTGTCTGAGAGGGTTTGCATCGTGCTTTTATAGCCAGGTGTAATAAATAGAATAAATAAGTTTGGCCTTAGACCTGTGATTCAATAAACAACAATCCATAGAAAAATCATCATTTCACAAAATTTGGCCCAGTTTGAAGATACTGTCCGAAATCAGAAATGTGAGAGACTACAGTATTTTAAGACAGGATTTCTTAGAATAAACTGCTCTTGTCTAGAAAATTGTTATCCCTTGCATGGTTTTTCTACCTAAAACAAATGTTTTGCACTGTTTTTCTCATTTACACATAGAGCTGATCTTGTTTCAGAATTGGGACAATGTAGAAAGAACTATTAATAAAACAATGAAGAGAAAGTTTGGAAGTAGGAGATGTATCAAATGAAAGAAACCAAACCCACAACCAATCCACTACGAAAACTCCTGCTTCCCTCTACTCTTAGTCCATCCAGGATAGTAAGATTCATAACCAAATAATATAATGAAAAAGCCTAGTGTTTTGTAAGCAAGATCAGCCATTTTAACCTAAATGGTCAAAATGTGTTGACTTCAAAAACTGGAGTTGTAAAATCACTTTTTAAATTATTCCTCTATAACCAGGCTGCTGTTGTTCTTCTCATTTATCATTTACAATTGCACAATATAAATCACAAATAAATCCTTATGACCTTCTGGAACTGCAAATATAACTGAGTAGGCAATTATCATTAATTGTTAAGCAGTTTTATAGATCAGTAGATACAAATGATAATCAACAGCACCAAATGAAATGAAATATTTCAGTTAATGTACTTGGATGTTGATATCTAATGCTGAAAGGTAATACTTAGAGGAAACTTACTTCTGGTTCAAAGTAACATCCCAGCTGTATCCCACGTAACCATTGCATTTCTTCCTTTTACTGAGTTTGTTAGGATCACTCTGATCTACTGAAAACACTCTACCACATTAGCAAAGTACAAAGGAGGAAGAAGGCGAGAAAGGTCCTGCCAGGATCTTCCCCATATGAAGGTATTTTCATATAAAGTAGTGCCAGTAGCAAGAATCCAGGCTGAAGTATAATCTAGACCACGCACTTTGCAGCACAAAACAATTCTTAAAGTATGTTCTTGTTCAACAATACAGTAACATTGCTAACAGCCCACACAGAAGCGCACAGTCTCTTAACATTCTAGGAATATGGTACATCTTACTCGGTCTTGAAAAATAATCTTTTTGCAAGTTCTCAACATTTCAAGACTGATGGTGAAATAAAATCTACGACACCTGAGGTGATATACTTCATTAACCATTGCCAGAATACCAATACTATTATAATAAAATCTGTAAATAATGTATTATCAGAGATGCTTAAAATTCAACCACGTTTAAGCATATTTACCCAGTAAATATTTGATTTTTAAATTGTCTACCATTAAATAGATTAGTCTTTAGCAGCTCTTCTGTACATAATTCAATCAAATTGTTGTTCTCAGTCTGGCTGAGTCAGAACACTTTTAATGATATCTAAACACTGAGTGGCTAGATCTTCCAACAGAGAGATGAAAATCATGTTCCCATAAGGAAAAATTCCCTAGCAGGAAAACTCAGAAAAAGAATGAAAAAGAAGATGGAGCACCGATAAGGAGAGAGAAAAGTAAGATGCAATAGGCTTTAAGGGCAATGAAATACATGCAGATATTTTTATGAGGATCTTCTTAATAGTAAAATGAAGTATGTAAAGAGAAAAACTAGAATGTTCATAAAAATTGTGAAAATATGTAAAGTTTATGCAAATGGAAGACCTTACATCCAGAAGGAGTTCTGTGCCTCTTTCCTGAAGCACTGAAAGTCTCTTTTAAAACAAAGTAAACTCAACCAAATAAAGGTTATTTCCTCCAGTGATATATTACAACCCACTCCACAATAACAGATTACTGAAATGTTTATTTATTATAAGCTTTACTGTAAAGCACTTGAAACTTTTTATGAAATGTAAAAAACTGTACCAGGTTTTTTAGAGTTGCTGGAAAACAAGCAGAATGTGAAACTTTGCAGTGACCTACGGAGAAAATGATAGTAATCTGTAATTTTCTTAAATAGTAAAAAAAATGAATGAGCAGACAGTGAGGTGGACCATGCCTGTGATGGTATAGATCAACTTAGAAGGAAGTCAAGTTGGAGACCAGTAAGGCATCAGGGGGGTCAATACTGGGAGAAATCCACTTTAATATCCTCATTAACAACCTGGATAATGGGACAGAGTTTGCTGATGACACAAAACTGAGAGGGGTGGTTGATACACCAGAGGGTCATGCTGCCATCCAGAGCGACCTCAAGAAGCTGGAGAAACAGACTGACAGGAACCTCATGCAGTTCAATAAGGCAAAGTGCCGTCTTGCACCTGGGGAGGAGCAACCCCGCGTACCAGAAGATACTGAGACCACCCAGCTGTAAAGCAGCATTGCTTAAAAGGACTCAGGGGTCCTGGTGGACACTACATTGAATATGATATTATAATATATCCTTAGAGAAAATAAGGCCACCAGTACCCTGGGTTGTATTAGGAGGAGTGCTGCCAACCAGGTCAAGAGAGCTGATCCTTCCCCTCTACTTGATACTGGTAAAGCAACATCTGGAGCACTGTGACGGCTTCCAGGCTCCCCAGAACAAAAGCAGTGTGGAGCTGCTGGGGTCTAGCAAAGGGCCATAAATCTGTTTAAAGGTTCAAACCATCTCTCATATGAGGAAAGGCTGATAGAGGTGGCACTGGTCAGCCTGGAGAAGAGTAGAGTCAGAGGTGGTCCTACAAATCTGTACATAAACATGAAGGGAGGCTGTAAAGTGAAGGGAACCAGGCTCTTTTTAGTGGTATCCAGTGACAGAACAAGTGGCAATGAGCACCGAATCACAGGAGGTTCCAACTGAACATCAGGAAACACTTTTCCACTGTGAGAGTGACTGAGCACTAGCACAGGTAGTCCGGAGAGGTTATGGAGTCTCTATCCTTGGAGATATTCAGTAGTTGTCTAGACACAGTCCTAAGCAAGTGGATCTAGGTGACCCTGCTTGAAAAAGGGGTTGAACAAAATGACCTATGGAGGTGCCTTCTGACACCAGACAATTTGTGATCCTCTGATTTTGTAATAACTGAACACCAGAGCTGGATAATAGTGAAATAACCAGTCAAAAGACTAGACTTATTATCTAAGGTATAAGCAGAAGTTAGACAAATTTTTATCACAATGTAGACTTATTCTTGTGGAATTGTTTTTAGTCATGAGTGCATACATATCCAACCTGGAGAAAACTGAAATATTTAGGACTGGTTTCAAAATGGTCCACTAGGTCTTCATGGGAGACTAAATATTTTGGATATTGGTTTTGGAATCTATTCCAAATCTGACCCATGGAAACCATACTACATTTCTTTATTTTTAATTTTACTGTTACTATGCAACAAGTCTGGCTTTTCTAAGCAGCTGGCAAACATGGAATTTAAATGAGAAAACAGAGCGTCAATTGTAAGGGGTTAGGGCATCTAACATGTTCAGAAATCTTACGAATTAAAGAAAATTGTAAAGTAAAAAGGGACTGTGCATTAACTGGATTAAGTCTTCAAAAAGTATGTAGATGCCATTGTTCACAAGTACACCCCAACATCGTATGTTATTGCTGAGCTGAGATATGTTTATGTGCCTATGGCATGTATGCATGTAATCCCTCACTCTGTGTCATTTGCACAGAAAGTGGAATGGTTTAAAATACTGTTACTTGAATGATTTCCATAAGAGACAAGGAAAAGGCATAAAGTTCAAACTAATTACTAGCAACAAGATGTGCAGCTGGTAATTATTGTTACAAATCAATTTTAAAAGATCACATTTTAAATAAAAAAACACAGTTATAAAACCGTTCAACTTGTCTTCAAAGACAGATTGCACAAGGTTTCTAAAAGTAATGTTGTAATACAGAAAAATTAGAGTATTTTCTTTCTTACAAATGCACAAAAATGTGAGTACACCTCTCGCATTTTATTAATCTATTTCTTTAGCTTCTCATATAAAGTTCATTTGGGTACTTTCTTACCCTGTCAATGTCAAACCTGCTGCTCTCACTGATAAAAATTAATAGATATCGCACTCTTAGAAGTCAAAAGATTTAGGTCAATGTGTTAATACCTCTTATAATAAATGGAAGATTGAGTTAGTGTGAAATATATCTGGACTACAATATACTTAATTACACTTTTTTTTAATGTCCGAAGTCCAGTGTATATACAGGGAAGAACATGACCAATTACTGCATGGTTAAAAGTCAAGATGAAGGAAATGTGTACTACAAAATCCTGGTGCTGATTAATTTTTGTGGTATTTTGCTTTCTTCTAAAAATGAGAAATGGAGGAATTTT